TTTTTTCTTTCGAAAATGCTTTATTTGTGCAAGATGCTAGGAAATTCGATTTAACGAGGCACTATATCGGCAGATTAGTTATTTTTATTATTTAGCGAAACGTATTGCCTAATGAAAAGCTTCCTCTTTAGACATAGCTTCCGCTGCGTTTGCTTTCAAATGACTTGAGCTTGAATATCTGGCTCGACCCGGCGCAAAGAACAACCGGGTCAGCTACTTGCGCAGCTTGAATTAACGCCAACAAAATATCTTCCCGACTTTAGTGGACTTTTGCAATAATCAAGTTGCGTTAAAGCTTTCTACATCTGGAGATTTAGCGAAATATAGTGTTCTTACATTTGCAACATAAAAATAGGGTATCGCTTGATTTGTTAAATTTTTTTACCTTGGGTCATTTTTTTACATTCCCTCAGTCTAGTAGATAGTCCACACTAGACACACCTTTACTATGAGTCTTCTACAACACCACAGAGAGCTCCAGGAAAGGGAGGGGGGGCGGGGGGGAGTATGGCACTTTCATAGTAGGGGTGTGTTTAGTGCAGAATTTATACTCAATTCGTGCGATCGGTGTCCGACCGCTTTAACTCGCCGTAGCTGGTTGCGCGGGTGCCCGCGGAGCGACAGCTTGCGTTGCAGAATCCAAGGATCCTGGACTCAATCCCTACCTGCTTCCGATTCGATCTGGAGAAGCATCGTACTGGCGAGTATCACTAACGGGTGGTGCACGTTAAAGATCCCAGGCTACCAGTGGTACTGTACTGGCTAAATCTTTTATCTACAGCTGAGACACCAGCCGACCATTGGGGCTGCCGAACTTCCGGCTGTCCAAACATACACTCGATACAATCACCAAGACAGATAGCTCATGTTTTGCGAAGTCCGCGAGACCATTCGCCAAAATTTGATTTCATGCCATATAATCGATATAAACCGCACGTCAAATGACTGCAGCGTCTTTTTTTTATCGTTTAATTGTAATTCTACTTCTCCTTCCGTATCGCCTGAACGCTTTTTTTTTTCCTACTTTTTGAGTCAATAGCGGTCCTAATGACCTAAAGCCACCTTCGAACCATTATGTTCCAAAAACGACGTAGCATACCAAGTGCATTCGTCCGATGCGATAGATTTTTTTTTCTGCCAAAGAAGCTTTTTACCAATTTCCTATTGTTTTTATTGTTGTATTACAGACTCCATTAGTCGGTAACGACCGATTGAGGCAGGGAAACAAATTTTAAAAACAAATTGCGAGTAGCATGTTTAGAGATCTCCCACAAAGGCGACGAGTGTCGTGACGGTTTTTGCACTGAATCAGTCCTACAAACGTCGTTAATCTTTCAAGCGTCGTATAGAACATGCCTCATTTCGCGGACAATGGTGTTTTGGCTAATCGTCTTTTCGTCTTTTCAAGCGCGATGCGATGACGACGTCACTTTCCGCCTTCTTGAGACAGCAATGTGCGTGCACCGTAAACAAAACAAAAAAATCCTGGTGCGCCGGGTTAGACTGATCGATACACTCGAATGTCAACTACTTCGGTCACGCCAGGCCTTTTTGTGGTCGTCTTCTTGGACTCGAATGAAGTGAGACGTTATCGGGGTTGTTTTGCGGTCGGACCAAGTACTTGCACGCCTCCAGAAACTGGACTTCGGTCATCAAGGGTCATTTGGCGGAGGTCTTGATAAGCTATTCTCCAGGCCTCAACGGCAATCGCTTTGAAATACATTAACTGGGTGGGTACTCGTAGAGCTATAGGTGGTGTAGTCTAGTTCCGCTCGGATGCTTGCATTTGGCCAAATCGTTTGATCTATTAGAATAATTCTGGACTATTTCTTTCGGAACAATATCGATAAAGTGAATACGAGCTGTTTTGTTCCATTATTTTATTCTACGTCTTTTTTGGGAGCGGATTCTGGAGAAAAGACATATTCATTAAGAGCTTGGGAAATGAAATGAGACAAGATTCGTAGACTATAGTTACCAAACTTCCCTTTTTTAACTTTTGCGCGATGGTATGACTGCGGATAAAATGCATGTTTGAATGTTCTCGTATAAATTGAAATGTCTTTCAAACAATTTTTTTTTCTTTTTTTTTTATTGCAAAGACATATCCACGGGGCACAACATGCATTTTTTTTCTTAATTGGTCAAGAATTTACATTTAAAGGAATTGCCAGTATTATGAGCTATGTTAACATACATGGAACCGCAGTTCATCGAATTGCCTTGGCGCATCGAAACCCTCTTAACCACAGCCACGGTTCTAATGTTACCTGATCTGGAATCTTTTCGTCGTGCCTCGGAAAAGCCTTGCGTGGTGACGAATTGAAACACCAAAGGTGAGCTTCCGACATCAGGAACCAACCAATCGGATCGCTCGGAAAACCTAACGGATGAGCATCGTTTCGGAGGAGCCACCGAGGATAAATTCGCTGAATCCGTGTACTTTTTTTAGAAAACCCCGCAAACCCGTGGGAAATATTAGCTGGAACTTGGAAGCGGGTACACGACATTCCACGTAACCTAAGCCAAGGTTTAAAAATATGTTGGTGCATTTTAGGAAGACGATGCCAAACAAATAAAATTGTTCATTGTTTTGAGCAAGTCAGTTTTTTTTTCTATTTTGCCCAATTAACTAATTAGTTAAGGTTAAGTATCGAACTTTCTGAAATATTAAATTTAGAGCAAAAGTTCCAATGACAGAGTTGTAAAGCGTCCTCAGCAATATCCAATTCAGTGGTTTTTATCAAGAAACCTCTAACACGGTTCGTTTTTTTTTTTCTGCGATAAAAAAAAAAAAGTGCCCGAATAATGAAAAAAAAAAAGAAAAACAAACGTGAATTTGTTAACAGCGCCCAGTCAACGGTGCTCCGTTCAGCATGCAAGCCTAGTTTATTTAAGCCACGGCTGGGAACGCTGCAATTCAAGGTGCAGATACGCAAATTCACGCATGTCTTTTTTCCCTAATTCGCTAACTTTTTTCGAGGTCTATAAAAAAAAAGGTGTTAAGGTTTTTTTAATAAAAAAACACTAAATTGGATGTTTCTGAAGACGCTCTACCATTTTGTCTTAAAAAATTTTGCTCTAAATTAAATATTTTTAAAATAATTGAATAATCTGAATTAATTTGTTAATTGGGCACTAGGCCATGGAAGGCCTCTCCACGGCCAAGTCATGGAGAAGGCTCCTCTGGTGGCGTTTCTTTGAACTACACCATGCGAGAGCCAATGGGAGCCTCGTTCCTTGAAACTATGACGCGCGCCAGCCAATGGGAGCCTATCCATCAGATCGCTGCCACAGACCACAGGCTTCACTCCATTGGAGCAGGGGAGTTTAGGTTCCGTTTGGCGCGGCTTGAAAACCTGATAACGCCGGTTCGCTTCATAAGACAGTTAATGCTTTCGAATTCAAATTTTCGCCAGAGTCTCCGTAATCAGTGTGTGCATGTCTAAAGATCACCTGCGATGTTTTAACACGAGAGGTCCATCACGTGAAAAGATACGCATTTGCCCCTAGACAACAATGGGCGAACAACAAGCTCGTGTCTACAGGTGTGATGAGGCACGGGACATCAATAACGCGAGGCATCATTTTTTACTTCCCTGATGCCACTACTTTGGCTTACAAGCACGTGGAGACTGCATTCTTCGACAGGTCCGATAACTCTTTACGGAGTGCAAATTCGTTTGCTTTTATCACAGGAGTTGCGATGATCTCAGAACGACAAGCTCCTTATTGGCTGATTAAAAAAAAAAAGAAGAAATAGTGGGTAGACCTCGAGGCATCTAGCATAGAGGTCTACCCACTATCCTTTCAGTCAAAGCCAATCAGAGCTCGGCGTCGTTCTGACGTCACCGTAACTCCTGCAAATGAAGCAGACGACTTGTTCTCCTCATTAAGTTGATACTATCTCTCGAAGCGACTCTCGCTGACTCTCCGGGCTATCTCGGTGTCTGCGGTACTCAATAGGTAGTCTTCTTGTTTTTACAGTCACCGACAGGATGAGGACGGCGGGGCGTCTATTTCGAATCCCCAGACTCCCCAACACGCCTTCGTTGCCCTTTACCATCCTTTCGCTGCGTGTACGAGGCACACAGACACCGAAGTTTCATCCAACTTGGGAGGCACGCACTGAACACGAGACAACTTAAGGACCTTCCTGCTGTTCTCATCCTTTCAGTGAATATAGACAGACACGCTGTTTACAAACAAGTCGGCGTTTGCCCCCCCCCCCCCCCCCCCCCCCCTCCCCTGGTGTGGGCACACAGGGCGCGCAGAAACCAGATAGGCCTGATGTGAAGCGTTTGCGCACGGAGGCGTGACGTCAAAGCCGCGTGTTTGTGTCCATAGTCGGTGATAGGTCAAGAAGGAAGTGGAATCCTCTTCCACCTCTTTCCACTTCAGCAGAGCGAATGCTGGAGATTAGGTGACCTCCACTCCAGCGTTCGCTCTGCTAAACTGAAAAGAGGTTGGAGGAGCTTCCCTTGAACTCTTAACCTGTAAACTGACTATAGTGCGCTAATTACGGTACCTGCAGCGCGTTTCCCAATGGTGTGTTTACCGTCCTATTCCGCTCATCCGTTCGAAGTGGTCATGCTCTCAGATGTCGCGATCCTGGTGGTTGGCCGTAAAAGTTTTGGCAAAAAGCACGAGCAAACGCGAGTTTCGCTGTCGTCCCGGCGTTTCAACTCCTGGCTGCCGAACCTTCCGTGAACTGTCAAGCTGGAGGGCCACCTGTGATAGAACAGACGTCTGTCATACCCATTACCGCTGCTGCGACGCCACCAGGATCGCGGTCGGCGACAGTAGGACACTTCTATGACGTTATTAGGTGGAAATCGAGGGACCACTGTTTTTTTGTTTTTTTGCACTCGGTAAACGCACCAGTCCGATCGACGCGTTCCAGGCGGCACCATATCGTAATGTTGACTTGCTCAACGCTTACGCTAGTTCTGATTTTTTTGCTCTCCCTCTCTCTCTCTTCTCGCGGTCCTCGTGTGCAGCGACGATGGAATGGCTCAAGCTTGGCCACAACAGCCTCAGTGCAGTCCCCAGCGAGGCCCTTCAGAACCTAACTGCATTGCGGGAGCTCGACCTGCGAGACAACAACATCTCGTACGTGCACGGGGACGCTTTCGACGGCTACGGGGCCAGCCTCAAGTTTGTCTACCTCCAGAAGAACAGGTGAGCATCGACTCGTCGTCGGCCTCGTTAAAACCGCAGTTTCACTTCCACTTTCAGCGCACAAAAGACACGGAGTTTGCTGCAGACATGACGATAGAGTTATCTGCGGAAACGCTTCCTCGAGCTTGTTCGAAGCATATATGTGCTTTATACATGTGTACGCTTCCAACATATCTGCGGACAGTTTTTGTATGACCAGTGCTTTACTAGAGCTTCATACGAGGAAGGATGGATGAATAAATGGATGTTAATGGCTATACCCATTGTAACGGGCGGTAGCTTGCGCCACCTAGTATAAAACAAGAAGCAAGCCTCAGACAGTGGCTGTGTTCCAAAATTTGCTCGATCCGACTCCGGAGTAAAGATTTCGTACCTTGGCGTTTTGAAACTTACTCGCATTTACTCGATGACGTCAGAACTCGCGTTCCAGAAGCGGGTGGTTTACTCCGGAGTAATTACTCACGCTACCCTCCTCGATCGCGGGGTAACGTCGGATCAAATCCAGTAAACTCGTCACGTGATCTGTTCGTCGTCTGCTTCCTGCGCCGACAACCGTCAAAGGCAGCCGTCAAAGCTCGGGGGTTTCTTTTTTTTTTTTTTATTCTCCGAGTGTGTTTAATGAGAGGATAACGCTTGTAAAGCTGTGAAGGCATCGAAGATTTTATGTATACGATCAGTCAACAACCCCCACCACATCTCCCTCCCTAATAAATTGTCTCTAGCGGTTTCGAAGAGCTTTCTGTGATTTTATAATCATGTTCGCGTCAAAGCGAACGTAAGTTACATATCACTATTGAGGAATCCCCATGCGCTTTACCACTACACCGGTGCTAATTACGATGAGTTGAGGCTGTTTATGGCCCCTGGACTAGACTTACAGCGATCGCGCGGAATAATCAAAACAAAAATGTTGGTGTCTAACTGAAAGGAATAAGTAATTTTTATCTCAGTATACAGCCCAAAAGGAAGGTGAGCAAAAGGAGCTGGTGGAGCCATCTCAGAAAAAACCGCGTCGTCTCTGTCAAACAAAAACTTTGATGCGGTTAACATTATCGTCTCTATGTGGTTTCTCCATGATCAAAAGAGATCGTGTGCTATTTTCCGCCATCGCTGCTATGTTTTCTTTTTGCCATAGCCCAAGACGAAGCCAATCCGCGTAGTATCCAGGTGATTATCCCGGCCGTTCCAAAATCATGTCGCGGATGGTTTACTCGCGATGTCACGTGATATTACCCGCTGTCGTAGGAGACAAGTTACTCGGGTAAGATTTCGGAACATAGCCCGAGTCTCCAGACTATCGTTCACGTCCTTACAAGGATGGACCCAGGCGAGGCGAGCGAGGGCGCGCCAGTGGGGCATCGATAGCCCTAAAGCGCTCAATGAATTATGTTCAGGCTACAAGTACCACCTGGGTGGTGCCATGGCCAACATTATAATCAAAGTCAGTTGACAATCTTCCTCGAACGCTTGGCTCTTTTTCTTGGTGCGTCCGTTCGGTGGCGCTCGCTATGCTATCAAACTGCGGCTGATATGGACAGAAGTGTGGAAACCGCTGAAACGTCGGATGCACGTTGTCCGCGGTTGAAAGTGATTCTATTGTGGCTTTTATGGTGGGCATAGGGGTTTGTGCAGACGTTCGCCCCCCCCCCCTCCCCCCCCCTCCCCCCAAAAAAAAAGCGTCGTTCAAAAGCGTTTTTTTTTTTTTTTTTTTTTTTGCTATTCGTGAAAGTTGTGTGATTGGTGGCGCTATGATCGCCATCGGCCGACTACACTTATTGGGATTTCCTGACGGAGTAAAACCGTGAAGCCAGCCCGGGGACCTTGATTGACATTTCTTTCAAGCACGTCACAAGACACACGCGGCGGCGGCTTTTTTTCTGACTTCACACGTTCCCCTGGTTTCTCTGTAAAGAGAAAAGGGAAAGGGGGGTTAAGGTAAACAACTGCTTGTGTTTTACGTGTATCCAGATACCGCCTCGGAGATTTGATTACTTCGTTTCACGGTCTTATCGAAACTGTTCCATTTTTGCGTGTGCTTCAGCGCGCGATTGTTGTCACGGGCCGACGCTTTTAGAGCGCACGCGGTTTTTTGTTATTTTGTTTCTTGCGCCAAAACTCTCGTTTACCTCAAATATCGCCCAACCCATTGTCTCGCCGCAGTCTTGGGTGGTCGTCGGGCTATGTCGCGTTGCGTCACGCTACGTCACGTATTTTACCACTCCTTGTGACGCAGAGTTCATTGCTCGGTTTACTGTCACGAGCTGTCTTATCTCAGACAACAAGCGCGAAAGATCACGGTCATCTGCTGTTCCTGAAAGAGCGGGACGTTTAAATAGGACATTTGGTGCAGCGGATATTCCGAATGGGTTCACTCCGTGACGAAATTCTCATACGCTCGAGCGTGTAGATATAAGAGCATTGTGTATGACGGCATGCACTTGAGCCAAAATTGGAGATGCGTCGCCGGCTCCGAGGCGTCGGAATAAGCCACTGCAGTCCACTAGAAGAGTGCCCTTAAAGGAGCGGTGCAACGATATTCAATTGGAATGTTTTTCACTCGACACGAGCTTACTGGCACACCTGGAACTCAAGGATACTCACACGCAACGCCACTGGCCAAGAAACTCCTTTGTTGCGATGTAATTTCAAGGACAAAAGCGATCATTTTCATTCAATCTCTCCTTTGCAAAATTTGATGACGTAACTCGGGGATCGCAGTACACCCAAGTGACGATATTTGAATGCGGTTCATAGATTGGACCCGAGCATTGCGTGGGCACTCGACTTGGGCTCGTGACAATTGCTAGCTCGAGAAGCATTCGGGTTGTGACCCGTGTCCAATCGCTGCAACGACGACAACAGCCGAGCCATAACAATGTCTGGAACTCAGCGCGTGTCCTGCGCTTTGCCAACCCCAGCGCGTGGGCGGCATATAATCGGCTCCAGATCACGTGGCCGCTTGTTCTGGCTGCGAGTTGAGGGGGTGAACGCTGCTTGTTTTTCTTAAATTTTTTTCTGGGACTTCTATTGCGTGGGGTGAAAAACGAACGCGTGTTTCATAGGTCATTAACGTTAGGGATCCGTTTTAAACGGTATTTGCGCAAAGTACAAAAATTGTTGCATCGCTCCTTTAAACAACAGCGAATTGCCGGCAGCCATGGCAGACCAATAAGAGCTTGCATATCCGCATGTCGAAAACGCCGTAAGCAAGAAAATATTAAAGCGCTGGAGGCAGCCATTAGGATTGTTCTTGGAACGATCAAGCCATGGCGGTATACTTGGGTACGTAAGAATGTTCCGCTGCTGAGCTAACTTTTCAAGGGCGGGGGGTGCGTTACCTTTCTTTTTTCTATTTGTCGTGACTTAATCGTCTGGTTACTTGCAAGCCTCTTGGGCGTCCTGGAAACATTAAAATTTGTTGGGGCTTCCATAATAAAAGAACGAGGATAATTATTTACACTTCCCGAAGGATTGACTAAAAAAAATTACTTACCGGGTAATATTCGACGTGACACCAAAATCTCATGCAGTCACCTGGGAACCTGTTCACTAGCAGTTTTCAATGAGAATATACCGATTTTACCAGCCAGTTTGACTATGCCACCACTGCCACAATGCAGAAAGAGAACTTTAGTCTTTCTGCACGCGCGACAACCTCGCTGGAACCTTTGCTGGAACTCCGTGCGTGTAGAGCACGGGACGGCCAAGCACTCTCGTGCACTGCGCCGAACGTTTAGTGAGATCGGTCGATTGGCATCTGAGTTGGAATGTACAAATCTTACACTATTGGCGACGTGAGCGTTCGAAAGCGTCGCTGTGGTCGGCCCACCACAATTGGCCGAATGCTGACTATGATGTCAGTGAAGGATGTCTCGTCGACGGAAATAAGAGGAATGTAAGAACTTTAATTTTGACGGTGTTTGCAGTGTTGCTTTGAGAGCGCTATGATTTCAGGCTTCCACCATGCCCATTACAAACACCATCGAACTTGTTGTTCACAAGGTGATGACGTCACGAAAGGTAACCGAACAAGGGCGCCACCGAAACATCTCGCCGCTAATAGGACACCATCCTTATTAAACAAATGTCTCGCGAAAAACACATATGTTTCCTGACATATGTTTCTTGACAAGGCTGCGTCGACAGTTCATTAGTTGAATTTAATATACTGTATAAGTTTTTTTTTTGTATTATTTTTCATGCAATATCTTATCTTCAGTGTGTTTGCTATCTGTTATTAAAGCTGCTGCTCGTGTAATACAATCGCAAACCCAGTCAAGCTGTTCTTCGGCAGCTTTTGTCTATGGCTCTCTTCAGTTCACATAAAAAAAATCTTCGAATTGAAGTGAATTGAATTGGCAGGTTGTTGGGGTAAGTGTTGGGGAGTGATATAATGTTCTAAAAAGCTGCGGGCTACGAGCCGAGACTTCCTTCAATTATTGAAAAGATGCATGTTTTGCAGACCGCCTTATACGATCATACGGTACGTCCATGAACGTGGTGTCAGAAGCTTGCTCTCATCCCGCGGTTAAAGGTGTTCTAGAAAAAGGAGTTCTGGATAAAGGAAGACGGGGGGGGGGGGGGGGAAGCAACAGCTGCGCTGTAGCCAGTATCCCTTGCTTACTGCCTGTCAGGACGCAAAGAACGAAGGTAAATCAAGATTCAGTAGAACCATCTGAAGACGAATTCGCTTAAATAAAAATAAATAAGTAAGTACGCACAAAAAAATGTGAGCCATTTTACTCCGTGAACGCGGATAACCAGCGAAGCTGTTTAGCACACGACAAAGACGTGATACAGAATTTTGAACAAAGGTACGAACTATCGCCGCCCCGCGGAGCCGGAGGAAACTAGACACGCGCGACGGGACCGCCACCCCGGGAGAGTGAAAGAAAAGGAAACTAGGCACACAAGTGCTTGGAACGACGACAAAGAGAGGGCGGTGCGAGCGTAGACATGGCCGACGCGGGTCCCTCAGTGGCTAATCTTTAAGAAACTTT